AAGCTGAATCAGAGAAAACTTCAATTTGGGTGTTCGCTGACAGTTGCTCGGACTTAGCTTTTAAACAGCGGGTTTTCAGGGGAAAGCCATGGAGCAAGAAACGAGGTGCTCAGACACGGAGCTTTAAATTGTGGACCGTGCCTGGAAAGAACGGAGGAAAGTTAAGTTTGGATAAACCCTCAGTCCCAAGCACTTCCAGCGAAAGGAGCTTAGATGGTAGCACTTACAGTGCTTACAGATTGAAATGGGGTGGTGGTGGTGGTGTTATAGTACAAATGGGTTTAAAACTCATCCACACTTCCACTTGCCCTTCCACTTCCCCCCAGGCAAACTCAGTTTAGCACTAAATCAGAACAAATGGAAATTGGGTTTCCCATGGATTAATGTTTGTTCCAGATTAGCACTAAAGAGCAGGTTTTCCAGTGTGGGGGAGGCAAACACAAAACCGCTCAGACCCATGCCTGGAAATCATGGGACAAGCAGAAAACTGTTTGGACCCATGTTTTATAGCCACCAGACAAGTGGACAAGCCTTGATGATCTTTGTAAAAGAGACTGAACTAATAAAATAGGTCAGATTCATACTATTAAGAAGCAAAGGTTTTGCTTGGTCCTTCAGTTGGGGATTCCTATATAGCAGCATATTCTATCCATTATTCTATCTCTGTTTGTGTCTGCTTCCCATTTTAATAGATAGACTTGCGTGTTACCTCTTGAAAAACAAAGTGATATTATGAAGGTTCTCTAAATACAAAATAGAATAGGTTTGAAGTACAAAACAATTTTGCTCAAAGTGCGTTTTCCCTAACATTTCAGGTTATTTAGTTCAGGACCTCAATTGCTCTGGTTTATCAATTATTGTAAGCAGAACCAAATTGGGGGATAAAATAGAGAGCAAAAAGTATACAATAGCTAGGAATGGAGGAGAAAGAAATGTCAACCTTTGCCTCGACCCTTTGTTGGACTGAATTTGCATGCTGTCTACCTGTATTTCTCATTAAAGCTGCTCTTGTTGCCAGAAAAGCAGTAAAGTGGTTAGCTTATAAAGCCTGTGTTGAGGGAAACCCAGGGTCAGAGCTTTAAAACTCTCATAACTAGGAGCTGGAGACTTACTTATCTTCACTACTAGAGATGCTCTGCTTTTATAGGTTCTGCATACTCCAAGATGCACATCTCTTGGGTAGTTAGAGAATTCGGAACAACATTGATGCGAAGCATAGGGTGTTTTTTTCCTAGGAGGGTAGCAGCCTGCTCTCTGATGCTGACGAGACTTTCCCCACTAGTGTTTTTTTTACTAGAAAAATAGGTGCCAGTACTCACCATGAAGTTGTTACAGGAAGTGTCACGCTTTTAAACTACCACAGCAAAAGCCGTGCCAGTACTACATACCCCTGAGTACCCCCTGAAAAAAGTACTGCATTTAAGTATTCCCAATTTCAGTAAATTAAAGCACTATTAAAGCACTATCTCAGTATGTGTTGCTCAGGGGTTGGGGTGGTTATGAGTTTGTAGGATGGGCTCCATTTTTTATTTTTACATTAAACAAGAACAAACCACTGCACTGCAGTCAATAGTTGCCTATTGCGTTGGAAAAATCTTTAAAAATGAGGCTAGGCACATTGTTTGGTGATGACGAAGCATGATTCCCAGTAGGAGGAAAATGGCTGCCCTCTTGTGTATCCTGTACATTTTCCCAATAGTAACAATTTTTGGTCTCAGCATTATCCCCTGAATGTATGTTGGGTTTCAGAATTATGCACAAACTCTTTGTATGGAGATTTTGAAGTGACTGATCCACGACTTTTAATCTGAATTTCAGCTCCTCTCGGTTTTGATAGTGAGTGTAAACCTAACAACCATGCCCTTTTGTTTTGTTTCATTGTTATGCATTCCCTGTAACATGACTCTCTAAAATATTTATATCATAGTTGCCTTGGGCTCAACTTGGCCTTCTTACATTTCAGGAATCTATAATTACATCCTACAAAGTATATATTATAGAATGCAGTAACTTTTGATGATAAATATGCCTTCAACCTATGAGTGAGTGTGTGCATGTGTGAGAATCAAAGAAAGTGTGACTCACAGGCTCAATACAAACAATGGGCAATCTCCAACTAAGTTAGAGTTGTCCTGCTGAAAATGAGTGGACTAGCATAACAACATAACAGTGCATTAATTTTAAGAGCTTTTAAATTGGTGATAGAGGAAGTGTTCCTCATGGCCCACAAACCAATTTCATGGGCCCAATTTGCTGTGAAATTTGGGGGTGGCAAATTTTCTCAGTTTGGAGGATGGGTTGTGGGCAAAACTTACAGGAGTGCTATGGGCTCCACCTGGCTAGTGGTTGTCATCTTCAGTTTTATGGAAGAATATGGTGACTGCTCACTTAATGGGACTTCAGAGAGGTCTAGTAGATTTAGCCCACCCCTTAAAATCACACTCTACCCTGCAAAATGGGAAAAGAGGGACCTGATTTTTCCCCCACCCCTTTTTATTCCAAGCCAAATTTGGTCCAAAGCTCCAGGTTTCTGAAAATTCAGCTGAACCCTAGTACATTCCAGGAATTCTCTGTGTTATACTGAGTCAAGCCATGGGCCCAGTTAGCTCAGTACTGTCTACACTACGACTGGCACGCCAGGATTTGAGGCTGGGTCCCACCCTACCCAACCCCACCCTAGCCTACCTCAAGATGCCAGGGATTGAACCGGCGGACACACTGCCACTGAGCTATGGCCCTTCCCTTAGTTTTTGTTTGCTTCACTATTTTCTCTGGGCTATCAGGTTTTGTAAGTTTTTAAAATGCTGGGGGGGGGGAGGAACATCTGTTTATACCAGAAACCATGAAAGGCTATTCAAAGAAGCAGGGGTGGAGTTGGATAATATTTGGTTGTATGGTGCCCTGAGTGAGGCCATAATTTGGTGCCCCCAAATGGATCTCCTCAATGATGGATCTTCTCAATTTTGTGCCCCCTTGGCTCAGTGCCCTGTGCGAGGGAACTGACTGCATCACCCTAAATCTGGCATTGAGATAAAGGAGGAAGCTCAGTGGTAGAGCTTATCCTCTTATGCAGAAGGTTCCTGGTTCAATCCATTGCATCTCTATGTTGGGTGAGTACCTACACTGAAATCCTAGAGAGGCTCTGCCCAACAGTTTAGATAGTATGAGAAAAATGGACCAATAGTAGTATAAGGTTGCTTTCTATGTCAGTACTGTTACCATCTTCATACTGTACCAGGTCACTGAGATTGAGACATTGCAGTATCATCATAATCATCAAAACTTTTATTGGCATCACATACAACATCCAAAACAAATCAATACAGAATTACTTCCCCAGTGGCACAAAACATTTGCTAAAAGAAAGGAGGCAGAACAGTCTATCGTCACATCTCTTGGTCTCCAGGGAGATCAGACATCTGCAGTGTATTTCGATGACAAAAAACCAAATAGAGATATTTAACCACTAACTTGGTGAGCTCCTGATTCCCCAGTAACAACAAGTGTATGACCTCTGACTCTGGTTTCCATTTGGGGACACAGAATTGATCTAGAAATTGCTGGTGGAGATCAGCATATAGTTTACAATTGAGAACCATATGTGTAAGGGTTTCCACCAGGTGGTCTTCACATGGGCAAGTTCTTTCTCCTTCCACCCTGCCTGAGAACCTTCCCCAAAGGAGGTTTCATTGCTGTTTCCCTAGAGCCATCTACGGAGTTCATGGGAGAAGCAAGATTTGAATAAGGCCTTTCTTGCACTACTGCTGAGTCTCCTATGCCGCAATCGTAGACATCAAAGGTTTTACTTTACAGATGTTGTTGTTGGACTCTCAACTTCCATCACTTCAAGCAAGCAAAGTGATGATGGGAGTTGTAGTTCAACAACATTTGTGGGGCAGCATGTTGCCTATCCCTCCTATACAGTTGTCCCTGAGAGTTGCTCCCAATTTACTGAATACATGCACAATCCTTTGTACAAAACTCTGTGATGAATGGAACTATGCATGAGTTCCAGTTTTGCAACAAAACAAAACAAAAAGTCCAAGTATTTTGGAACTCCAAAACCTGGGGATGAATTTGGATGAGGAGAATTTCAGAAGCATCTCTAATATATATTTTTAAACCACTTCCATAGCATTTATTATTATTATTAAAAATTCAAAACTCTTAAATTTGTGTTGCACAATCATCTAAACTGCCATACCTATAATTAGTGATCTATTAAGAAGCAATTAAAGTAGCTCCCAGTGAAAAGAGAAAACAGCTGCAAATGCTGAAATCCCCCCCCCCCAAAAAAAAGAACTGATACCAAGGAGATAATCTGAGAACAGCAGGTTGCTTTGTATCAAACAGATTTGATTATGAGTTCAGATGCTCCAGAGCACAGTGTGGGCATTTCTGGAATGACTCGCTCAATTGAGTCATTGGCAACAAGGCAAATGTTAAAACTTGGCAGCTGCATTTCAATCTTTCTGTGTGATGAGGGTTGCTCTTGGGATAAACATTTCTTTTTAAGAATCCTCTCTTTCTTTTCGAAGAGCTTCATTATTATTATCTATTTTCAGCATGCAGGAGCATGATGATTGAAAGAAAGGCAAGGAGAAGCCGAAATGTATTATTATAATAAAAACCTCCCCTTGTAATTATCTCTCATGTAAGTGGAGATATATATATGTATATATGAGATAGGAAAGAGGGTTGTATCTAAGGCTAGCCCTACCATGCGGCAGAATGAAAATAGTTGTTTCAGTCAGCTTCATGGGAGAAGGAGTAGATGAAATCAGGGATTGATGTTGGAACGGTGCAGCAAAACCTTTTAAAGCTGGAGAGGCTAACCTGCAACCTTCCAGTTCTTGGTGAATTATGGTTTCTTTCTCCCCTGAGCATTGCTCATGATGGATGGAGCTGATGGAATTTGAGGTCCAGTTACACAGGAATCTGCTTTATAGAAGGGACCACCAGGGCCATATAGTACAACCCGCTACAATGCAGGCATCTTTTGCCCAATGTGAGTCTTGCACCCACGATCCTGCGTTTAAGAATCTCATGCTCTACCAACTGAGCTATCCTATAAACAATTAGTCTTTCTAAAGGATTGTTGTCTATGCCAGGCTTGGAAAATCATTAGCCCTCAAGATGCTGCTCTGCTACAGCTCACATCCATAGTCACTGGCCATGCTGGCTGGGCCGATGGGAATTGTACTACATCAACATCTGGAGGACCAATGGTTCTTCAAACCTATTCTATATTCAGGGATTCTAATAGGATTTATTGGGCCCAGCATACTCTATGTAGATTGGGGTCCCAGCACCCACAATCTATTGGCAAATAACTGCTGCTTATGTAGCCCAGCCTACCTCACAGGGCTGTTGAAAAGATGAGAAGGGATAGTAGAGGGGCTTCCCGCCTGGCAAAATCCCTTTCACTCTCAATGGAGTGAGATTGGGTTTTAAAGGGAAGGGAGAAGCTTTTGTGAGTTCCTTGTAACACCAATTTCACTGCAATCTTAAAAGGTGAAGGCTTTTGCAAGCATTTGTGAGTCTACCTTCACAGCAAGGTCAGGCTTAACAAGGAGGGTGCAGAAGCCTTTGGCAGTCTCCACCACTCTCTTTAAGACTGCAACAAAATTGAGCTTAAAAGGGGAGGGAATAGACTCCCTGCCACTTCCTGAGTTTGAGTATGTTGACATGCCTGACTGCTTTCCTGAGCCCAGTGCTCCTAATGGAGAGGGGATGATCCTGCTTAGTGCTGAGTTTGGGCGTGTCGGAGAGCTCCCTGCAAGATCACTCTCCTGTTGTGCCAACTGATATGAAGGTGGAGTGATTGTGCTTAGCACTGGGTCCCCACTTTGTGCAGTGCTTCAATGGCTCCTGACAACCAGCTGATTACCCCTCCCTGGACCTTATGGTAAGAAATCAAATAACAACATCCACAACATGTAAACTAGAGAGAAAACCAGCCCAGTGATTTATTAGAACTTGAATTCTAATAAATCGGGTAGTAAGTAAATCTGGTAAACTGAAACCATCACCACACATTAACATCCTGCTGATTCCCTGAAGTTCACCCTCCATCCTGCTTCAACTGGATTTTTGTTTTCTTCCTGGTTTTCTTGGGCGCTAATGGACTCATCAGGGCCCAATCTCTGCCAATCAGTGCTGTCTAATCTCTCTCTCTCTCTCTCTCTCTCTCTCTCTCTCTCTCCCTCCCTCCCTCCCTCCCTCCCTCCCTCTCTCCTGTTTCAGTTTCCTGCCCACTGGACATTCTGGCTGGACATTCTTTATTTTAATTTTTTTTCAAGCCAGAAAGGAAAACAGATTGAGACACTGCCTCTTAACTCTTTTCTTTGGTAGAAGCAACAGAGAGTTAGAGTTCATGCCTTGGCAAGCCCCCTATGAGCCCATCAGCTTGGTCGAATGCCCAGGTTCTTTGGTGGTTAGCACAGGCCATGAACTTTGGAGTCAATCTGACTTGTGACTTGCAGCACAGAATCTGCTGAGTGCAACTTTTCAAGCCGAGCAAAAATGCAGTCCAGTTCTTTTCTTATCAGAAAACAGACAGCCCAGTTCCTATCACTGCTATTTTCTCAGCAGGCTTTTATCTTGGGGAGCGGAGGAGGCAGCTGGCAGTATCCTCAGCCCTGCTGGTCCATGAGCTGGTATGACCCTTTAAGATAGCATTTTTACTCCATCAGCAATTCAGCAGGTACATTTCTCCTGACAGGAGGGTGGTTTTTTATTATTCTTTTTTTAAAAAAAGCATTCTTGTTACTCTGCAGAAAGTGACACGCTTATAGGATCAGCCTTCCCATAATTCCTATGCCAATGTTTACTGTCTGTCAATATGATTAAAAGTAACGAGCATACAGAGGCACTGGATTTTAACTGCCTGTGGAAAAGTTGCTGCCATGTTTGGCCAGAAGTGAAATTTTGAGGCCAGTCTGGAGGCTCTGCCTAAGGCGGAACAAGTGAAGAATTTCAAGGGAAGCAAACGAACGGTTTCTCTTGAGTCTAGTGAAACTTCCTAATGAGTTCTGTGCATCTATAACGTGTGTGGTCTGTCATATATGGCTGCTTTTCTCCCATGGCATATTGATACTCAATAATCCAAAGCTTGGGGGATTGAGATGGCCCAGGGGCCATTTACAGGAGAGGATTCCCACAAACCCATAACACACTACAATGCCCAGAATGCTTAAAAGGTGCAGTGTGTACACAGCCCAATACAGTTCCAGACTGGGCTAAAAACACACCCTCCAAACCCTCAATTTAAAGTCTCATTGAAAAATGAAGGCCTTCACTAAATGCTCCACTTGTGGATTGTTCTGCACAGGGAATCCTACCTAGTGCCAATTTTTTTCAAGGCCAAATGAAGTCATCCAGCCTTTTAACTTCCAGTTTTATCGCTGCTGTCTTCTTCTGCTTTCAGCTGCCAGATCTTTTAATTCATTGTTCTTGTAGATATTTTGTTCTGTGTTGTATTATTTTATTTTAAAGCCAGATTGAAAATACTTTTTTTTAAAAAAAAAAAAAATCTAAGGCAATTTGTCAATTCCCAGAATATAAAAAAAAATAGTGCTCCCCCACCCTTCTTGATTTTAATTTGATCACAAAATTTGCTTAATAAAAGTCTGTCAAAACTAGGGATGGAGGAGAATGCCATTGGGTCTGATTATTTTTTTTAAGCAAACTGGCTCAATTTGCACTTTCCAAACTAACATATAATGCTCTTTTTTAAAAAGATTTTGTACTTCTCTGAATTTTGCATTTTTTTAGCTCAGTGTACCAAATTCTATATATTAAGATACGTTTAGAAATCTGTACATTGCGATAAAATACATATTTAAATATGTATTTTGTGATAAATACCATATTTTTCTGTGTATAAGACTAGTTTTTTTCCCTAAAAAATAATGTCAAAAATTATGGGGCATCTTATACACAGAGAGTGCTGAGGGTGGACTGGCAGTTCATTGTTGCTGCAAAAATAGGACGTGTCTTATACATGGGGGCATCTTATAGACAGAAAAATACGGTATTTGAATATGAATTTTCATATGGACTTGCGAAATTGCATTTAAATGGGAAAACAGGACTTATGTGGCCTAGGAACCTTGTACCTATGGGACCACCTCTCCTGGTATGCCCTGCGGAGGACCTTAAGGTCCATAAATAGCAATACTTTGGCAGTCCCAAGCCTCAATGAGGTTAGATTGGTCTAAACTAGGGCCAAGGCCTTTTCAGCACTGCCCCCAACTTGGTGGAACACACTGTCACAAGAGACCAGGGCCCTGCGGGGTTTGACATCTTTCTGCAGGGCCTGCAAGATGGAGCTGTTCCACCTGGCCTTCAGCTTAGATTCACTCTGACCCCTTATATGGGATTTGGCATATAACGTATTTTTTGCTCTATAAGACTCACTTTTTCCCTCCTAAAAAGTAAGGGGAAATGTGTGTGTCTTATGGAGCAAATGCAGGATGCGCAGCTATCCCAGAAGCCAGAACAGCAAAAGGGATTGCTGCTTTCGCTGCACAGCCATCCCTCTTGCTGTTCTGGCTTCTGAGATTCAGAATATATATTTTTCTTGTTTTCCTCCTCCAAAAACTAGGTGCGTCTTATGGTCTGGTGCATCTTATAGAGCAAAAAATATGGTAAATTTTCCCTTGGCTTTTTTGCTGGCCCATGTAGGACCATCATGGATAGCTGGCTCGGGTGAATAGCTGATGTTTCCTCCCTTTATCATCTTAATTTATGGGCTACTACTAAAATGAAGCTGCATTTTAAGTTGTATTTTAAGCTGCATTAACTGTTTGTGTGTGTGTGTGTGTGTTTGTATTACGTTTTATTGTAATTAATATTTGGTGTTAGCCGCCCTGAGCCCAGCCCTGGCCAGGGAGGGTGGGGGGGTATAAATAAAATTATTAGTATTAGTATTATGTGAACCTGCGATGAACTGATCTGTCCATCCCTGGACAGATGCAAGGTTTAGGTTATGCAGGCAAAGTTTACAGTATTTGAGACCTTCATATTTACTTTTGGCAAGTGGTGACTGAAGAAAAAAGTATCTTCATTGGTGGCAACAGATCGGTGGCCTGCTGTCTGAGTATTCATGAAAGCTCTGAATGTTGAGGTCCAGTCTAGAAATGCAACAGAACTGTGGCTTTTAAAAGCCACTTCACTTCAGCTCATAGGTGGCAAATGTGACATATATTTCTCTCAAGGAAAGCTAATGAGAGTCTTGGCTAGTGTTTTTTTGTTTTGTTTTGTTTTGTTTTTAAGATAAGAGTACTCCCACCCTATGACCCAACTTTGATGGTAGTTTATATTTTTATCAGGGCAAGTAGAGGAGATTAGATCCTGGCAAAGAGCAAATGGCAGGTGCAGTTCGATGAGAGCAATTTAAGGGAAAGCTCGTTTTAGAACTTTTTTTAAAAAATGGGGAAAAGTATGATTTCTGGCAAGCTTGTGATAGGTTGGCAGGATAAAGAGGGTATCTGAGAAACTGGCAGGAAGAAAAGACATGGGGGTGTTAATAAATCTTTGATGGCTCATTTATAATGTTAACAGTGCAGAAGGGTCACACACATAAAAAAAATTCTAAGGCCAGAACATACCTAACTGATGCCAGGGGAGCAAGCTGTCTTCTTGGAAGCACAGGCCTTGCCTTGGCAAGGCTATCATAAAATGTTCTTTGTCTGATTAGCAATCCTCAGGAAAATGACATATCAGATATCATTGCAATTAAAAGACACAGCCTGTTCAGCTATATCAGTTGAGCTACTGAAGCACAGTGTCATCCTAGTAGAAGTCACATATAACCAAATGAAAGAGGCCTGCCCTCTTTCCACATGGGTCAGGGTCCCTGCTCTTACCTGAGCAGCAGGGTAGGGGGGAAACTGCTTCACGTCCCCCCAAGCAAGGCATACAGTTGTGATGTGTCTCAACAGTTTATAGTCAAGTGAAATGAAGTTATAGATGGAACCATATATGTAAGCTGCTAGGAGTGAGGAAGGGGAAGTACCAATAATTTTTTCAGCAATGTTTATGAAGAACTTGGAAACAAAGAAGGCTGAGGCTGTGGCAG